GTCTTTACATGTTTTAATAGATCTTTCAACTTGCTGGTATTTTCAATTGTGGCTTGAATTCACTGTTACCAACAGGAATGTCACTGAACAACCTGTAACACAAAGTATAAATATCAAATTGAAAAACTAAAATTGGCAAAATGAAACAAAGTGCCAATATTATCACAGAAAAAAGTTGTGGAAACTGATTGGGCAACATAATTGCTATCTGTGGTTAAAATTGCATTCTCATTTTACATGATTCGCAGAATACCAGTTACTGATTACTGTATGCATCATAAAGATTGTTGATTTAGAATAGTTCATGAGAAATCATATCCAACAAAAAAATCAAATTTTGAGTGATTACAACAATAAAAATTATGTTTGATTACAATTCAGGTGAGCTTCAGTGCTTCTATACTTCTTGTGAAACCAACTGATATTATGATTTTCCTTGGAGATCACCATAATAAATGGGATATAATACAAAGTGGAGATACAACTTTAAATGTCTACTTGTTGAACCCAGTGATCATTTGTAAATATACAAGTCAGTGCAAGGGCAGTAGGCAAAAGTGCCTGGGTTAATACAATACTAGAAATAATACATGAATGTTTTTCTTCTTGGATAAAATAAGTTATTAGTAACATTCTAGAAATGATAAAACAGTACTACGAACATTGCCGGCAGTGGTGACATGTTTTGACTCGTACTCATACATGTATTGGTTTTGCGACTTGCCCAGACTCTGAGTTTTAGAAAACGTACGTCTAGCGCGTACAAGACATGGCCGCGTGCTTTTTGAAAACGTTCGAATGTAGGACGCTTTCACCCACGCTTTTCATAATAATAGACGGGGTATGACACAATCAAAGCTGACCAATCGGTGTTCGCCATATAAAATATGTGACCTGCAATTTTTCATCCAATGCTCATACCATTGCTTATGTGTACCATGCTCTTCTTCGCATTATTATGTATGTTTGCCTTATATAAAAGGTAACATCATTAAAAAACATAACTCACTAATCTATCGAATGTTTGCTGTGAAATACAGAAACTTTAATAATCGCTGTTGTGGGGTCACTCATGATCGGGCTTATGATGCATCGCTGTCACTAGATGCGTAGCTGCCGTTCTGTGGCCGGTGGTGACGCTGTTATGGCGCTAAATCATAACTTACAGCTCGAAGGATACAATGCGTTACACATTGAATGTGGAATTAAATAATATAAGCGAATGGTACAGTCAGAATTGTGTACATATATAAGGTACATTTACACAGTTATTCAAAGTAAATGTATTTCATTGTCATATTCAAAACAAGCAGCCTATCGGCTGAGATAGCTCCGCTGTTAGCAATGCACATTGCAATTAAAGAACTGAAGACATCATTAGAAAATGAACAATATGTATAGTATCAAAGCAATCGGACCTACAGTTTTTAACAAGAAGTCGAAAATATCACTTTTTACCAAAAATTACAAAAATATTCACCAAAATTAGAGAATTGAAGTTATCATCACAAAATGAACAAATCTGAGAGAGATCCACATGTAGTACCTATATATGTAATATCAAAGCAATTGGACTTACAGTTTTTAACAAGAAGTCGAAAATATCACTTTTTACCAAAAATTACAAAAATATTCACCAAAATTAGAGAATTGAAGATATCATCACAAAATGAACAAATCTGAGAGAGGTCCACATGTAGTACCTATATACATGTATGTAATATCAAAGCAATGGGACTTACAGTTTTTAACAAGAAGTCGAAAATATCACTTTTTACCAAAAATGACAAAAATAACCACCAAAATTAGAGAATTGAAGATATCATCACGAAATGAACAAATCTGAGAGAGGTCTACCCAAGGTACATATACACCAAGTATCAAAGCATTCAGGCTTGTAGTTTTCAAGAAGAAGTCGAAAAAGTAAAACATTGACATGGACGACGACGTCGACGGACAATCACTCATATGATAAGCTCCGCTTGACAAAGACGACAGCGAAGCTAAAAATCGTCAACATTTAAAAATTATCATCCGTCGTGGCTTATCTTACACTTATGCCTACCGCCCTTGGTCAGTGGTTGTAGTCAATTACATACTAGACATTACGACCACTTACGGATCAGATAAGAGGTCATCAATGGTAGGCAATCCTGTTTTACAAGACTCAGTCGTCAATAGACATTCCAATAATGCCTCTGAAACAAAACAAAAAATACAAATTTGAATTTACATTTTAACTGGAATTAATTTTCACTGAAAAGTCTTTTTGTGTGTTTTGAATGTGATATATTTTTACTAATTTTTGACCAATTGAATGTAAACAAGTCATTGTTAATGACACAGTCCCCGTCCCAAATTTTGTGATCTGACATATCAATTTGATGCTGATGAAGTCATTGAGATTAGATTGAAACCTTTAATAGGAGATGGATTTGTAAAAAATTATGATTTAGTGCTTTCACACAAGAATTGGACATTGGGAAGTCATATTGAATCAAATTACAAACAAGCAGCCTCTCGGCTGAGATAGCTCCGCTGTTTGCAATGCACATTTCAATTAAAGAACAGAAGATATCATTAGAAAATGAACAATATGCATAGTATCAATGCAATAGGACTTGCTGTTTTCAACAAGAATTCAAAAATATCATTTTTCACCATAAATGATTGTGGTTTTTAACAAGAAG